AGAATGCTTTAAATATCTCATTAGTATAAAAATTGTAAAAAAAGTGCGAAAAAAACACCCCTTCCCCTTTGTCAAACGCCATCATCATTTATATTGTGGCTTGCGATGGGAAATCAATGCTTTCACAAATGCATTTCAAAGGAAATCGAGCGTGTTTGCACAGCGAATGGGGTCAAGCTGTTGCAGCAGGGCTGGTGGGGACGCGATGCGAGCTGAGCGTGGTGACAAAAAGTTGTTTGCGTGATAAGCAAGAAATATCGTGAATTAATGTAATCTAATAGCGAGTGGAATGCGAGTAAGTAGTTCGTGGAATATGTTTGCTGATGTGGTGATGTGTTGACAAGGTTACAAAAATTTGAAATGGCAGAAGAAAAATGTAGATAAATGTGGAATTTTATGAGTAAGTACTTGTTGGGGAAGAACCGGCGGGGTGGGGGAAAAAAATGTGCTGTAAGTACGCGGATATCGCTAGAGAAGTGAACTTTGTGGCAGCAGTTGTGGGCGAATGTAGGTCAGCGTTAAGGGGATGAATAAGAGAGTAGATTTAGGGAGTTGTTTTGCATGAAGCGATAAATAGCAGTTTTTCTGAAGTATATAATATTATTATAAATTTTTCAGCGAATTTCGTATTGTCATTGCTGATACTGCACTTATTGAAGCATTATTTACCTTATTTTCAAAAATCTATTAACGCAAATATAAATCACAGAACTAAAGAGCCAACTTGTTTACGGCAATACATTATACTTTCTGCAGCATCTTTTGTTTACTTTCCTGTTTATATTTATTTCCTTAGCAAGAATTTTAATTTTCCTTACAACACAGATTATTACTATTGATCACCGCAACCACCCAGGTCGAGAAGCGTCGTATTTCAATATTTATTTATTCGCAGCCTTCGGAAGACAGCACCAACCAACACACTACAGCATAAATTTAACCGCAAACTGGTGTTAAATAAACCAAAGGACAACGGGAATGTGTCGCAAAGGCAGTTCGAATGTCGCAAAAGCCATAAAGTCATTGAAAGGCAAGAAAGCATGAGAAGTGCCCCACACTTAAATCACATGCGCGTAGGTGTAGGTCTGCGGAAGTCTTTGAATGTTGTTTACTGTACTGTTTATTTTCCGTTAGATGTGTGTGTGTGTATGTCAGAGCGTGGGCCTCGATCATAATGTCAACAGTAAACAAATTGTTTTCACATTTCTCTCTCACGCGTTTTACGCCCTTGTTCCGTTTTTAATATCATAAGCATCCTTCTCAGCAATATACTACCACTTGGGTAGTTAATCTTGGTATTTGCGGTCAATCGCAATCAAATGCCTGTAAGGAGAAAAACCCACTTTCAATAATGCTAAGCGATCACATATAAACACGACTTCAGTGGCATATATGGTAAATATTTTATATTACCCTTTATATTATTTATTATTTGCGTTATCTCCAGCAGATAAAATTTTAAGAAGGGTCGGTACACGTACTCCGAAACATTTAAAACAATTACAGACTTCGCAGTTTCAAAGCCACACTTATCAGCTCCATTCAGCTTTTTCATGCTGTGAAAAATCTGAGTTATTACACAATTTCTCAATATCAGCTAGTCTAATAGGCAAGCTGAGACTTAACGTGCCGTGCTTGTGGAATTCCCTTCTTGTACATATTTCAGAGCCAGTCTCTTCTCGCACACTGCCGGCAGATTAAAAATTTGCATTATTCTAAGTTTTACGCAAATAATTTCTTTTTCGAAATATGAAAAAAACTGAATAAAGAAATAAATATAACACTTCAATTCACAGTTATTTTTTTTTTAATTTAAATTTTCATTTAAAATCAATTTTTATTTCTTCTGACATACCTTATGCGTCCACAATTTTTCTTAGCGAAAACACCCACCTTTGGCATGGCACAAAAACGCCGTTATTGGTTGCTGTCTATACTACAAGAAAGTTAAATTAACATTCTCTGTTTTAGCTTTTCAACGTAATTTAAATATTTATTTTTACTTTACATGACGAAGAAGAAAACTAAGGAGCAACTAATTATGGAATAAAGTACTTAATACTGTAATAACCTTTCAAGTATATAGCATTCCAGAAAATTGATAGATTTGTGTTATTCTGTCAACTATTGTCAACATTAAATACATTAGTAGAACCTGAACAGAACACTATAACATACAGCTGCCATCCAAACTGACCGATCAAAGTTAAGATAAATTTTTTCATAAAATAGCTTTTTCCTCGTTAAGAAATCTTAATTTGACTGGCTAGAAAGAACTAGCACTCGTTTTCCGTTGAATCCAAGCCTTCATCGATTACATTTTACGATTTGGTTATACATATAGTTGCCATAAGAAAGGGTGCTACAGCTTCGGTGCAGCCGCAGTTAAAATATTTTCTTGTTTTTCTAATACTAGTACTTATCATTGGCCTATAATGATAATCTTAATTAGCGTCTGATTATTCTTGGTTTTTCATAAAATTACGTTATAAAAGATTACAGTTATGGTGAGATTTTAAGCTCGCTTATATAAAGAATTACCGTTACTCATAAAAAAGAGATAAACTTCAGTAATTTTTATACTCTCGCAACCTGTTGCTACAGAGTATAATTGTTTTGTTCAACTAACGGTTGTTTGTATCACCTAAAACTAATCGAGTTAGATATAGGGTTATATATATATATAAACGATCAGGATGAAGAGACGAGTTGAAATCCAGGTGACTGTCTATCCGCCCGTCCGTCTGTGCAAGCTGTAACTTGAGTAAAAATTGAGATATCTTTATGAAACTTGGTAGACATGTTTCTTGATACCGTGAGACGGTTGGTATTGCAGATGGGTATAATCGGACCACTGCCACGCCCACAAAACGCCATCAATCAAAAACAAATAAATATGTTATTTGATACACAGGATCACATTAAGAAGGGGCATCTGTAGTTAACTTTTTTTTTTTAAATGGGCGTGGTCCCGCCTCTAATAGGTTTAATGTGCATATCTCCTAAACTGCTAAAGCTATAATAACAAAATTCACTGGAAGCAAATGTTTTTAGCAACTCTATTGACGGTGTGAAAATGGGTGAAATCGGGTGACACCCTCCCCCACTCCCTACATAACGGTACTGTGAAAAAATACCAAAACCGCGATAAACCAAGCACTAAACAAGTCAGAGACATTAAATTTTATCTCTAGGATGGTATGAGATGACTTTATAGGAACCGCGTTCAAAATTAGGCTGTGGGCGTATCACCGCTCACTTATAGGTGAAAACCCACATTTTAGGATCCGCTTAACCGATTTCAACCAAATTTGTTATGTACCGAATGTTATATTCTTTTCATATTTCTATGCTATAGTGCGAAAATGGGCGAATCGAACTACAACCACGCCTATTTCCCATATAACACCATTCCATTTGATTTTTTCACTTTCCAGTATGCAAATCAAGCAACAATGATTGTATCGGGGTAAAACTTATTTAAATTGAATCAAAACTGTTCAAGCCCCTAGGTACTGAATATGTAGACTCCAGTGCCTATAGTTGACTTTTTACCGAAAATATCGGTTAACATAGAACAAGGCGGCAAGATCCACAAAGAAATCGGAAACAAGTATACCATTCGACTTTGCGAGAGTATAAAATGTTCGGTTACATCCAAACTTAGCCCTTTCTTACTTGTTTTTGATTATTTTCGAGACTAAAAATACTGGTAATTGCGTGCTTTAATAATAATAAAATAATAATTCTATCTTATCACAAAAATTAGCAAAAAAAAAAAAAACAGTACATTAAAACTGACTATATTTTTTCAGTGAGTGCTATGCAATTGATCTCCCTAAAAATATCAGTTGATAAGAGAATGCAAAAGTGTGCAAAAATATTAAGCATACGTGCAAGATTAGCAAAGCGCAGCTCAGATGAGCCCCTGGGAGGGAAAATATTAGAGTAAAAATTAATTTATTATTTTACACACAGAAATAAATCATTTGTTTAAAATTGATCCGAGCAATCAAAGCTTCAAGTATGTGTATGTATGAATATGTTTTAAAACTCTCTGTAGTATGGACTAACAAAAACTAAAAATTCTTAATTTATTTTCGGAATATTTGAGGAAGTTAAAAAAATAGCGCAGAAATCGGTATTAATTTTTGAATAGCCGCAATTTTATGACAACATTTTTATTCAGCTTTGTTAGTTAATGTTAATGACTAATTAAGAATCTGTATCGGTTTGATTTTCGGATGACCAAAGTGTAGAAATCGTGACGACGAGGACACGGGCTTTCCGCCCTATACTTCGAGGACTCATAACTTTATAATTTTTTAAAATTAATTTTGTGCCCTCGTGTGAATTTCAATTTCTTACTAAATTGATTAGATTTTAATTGCACATCACAAACAAAAATTTCTTGTACGTGCCTAGAAGGTATATTTAAAGCAAGAAACAACAAAATTAGTATGATCGCCAACTAATAAAACTAATCAATTGGATCATAAAGATTTTAGACTGTACACTAGGTAAGGGTCTATAATTGAATGGACACATCAAACGAAATTAAAGCCTTGGACTTGACTGTTAACACAGAGATATTTTAGTACGGCTAACAATAAAGTTGAGTTAAATAAAACCGTATCTCATAGAAATCCCTTTGACATCACGTTTATGGTCCCGTTCTATAAATCAAAATCCGTGATAAGCCACCGGCTGCAGTCGCAGCTTAACGTTAATCAATATAAACACTGATTTATACATTCATACATTTAATTTTTTAAAATATACATAGGGGAAGAAATGATTTGGTTGAGTAATATATTTCATAATAAATGTTTCGGGTTTTACGCTAATAAAAAGTGTTGCATAAAAGTGTCGAATAACTAATTGATTAAATTTTTAGTCTCTTCGCAATGATAAAGCAATTGTGGCATTATAAAACGTGAAAATTTAGCTTATTTAGGTAATCAAATTTGCAAGCGTTGTTGAATTAAAATCAATTTTTTTTTGATAGAGTAAGAATTGTACTGAAGTAGAAGCTGATTTAAGTAATATTTCGTTTATATTTAAGAACTTTGGTATTTTGTGTTTTAAAAATTTCCATTCCTATGAGATTCAAACTAAATTGTGATCGTCTTCACTAGCTGTGTTCGATTCACCAAGCGTTTGAGAGAAACTAGTTGCTCAATTAAACTGACGGTACTCACGATGAAACCTTACGTTGACTTATCTTTTGACTCTTGCTGAATTGCGTTGCGCGTCACTCTTTGGTGGAGTAATACTTATTTCCACGCTAAAAAAGATTTTAGTAACCCAAAAGTTTCGAGCAGCTCCCGTGCCTCACATTTTCAATAAACTATCATATTTTATTTAAAGCATATAAAACTATTCTGTGAATATCGAAAGCAAATTTATTCAAAATTTTATATTTTTATACTTCTGTCTATGTAGATCAGTCAACATTTAACGTTAAATGAAACAAAAACCACTCGTAAATACTGTTTTTTTTATATCTCAACAGTCGATAGATAATTGATAACATATATTTTATTTATGAGCACAAGTTCACATAAGGACCGTTTGGATAATCAGCTTATCACGGCAATAAGGCAATACAATCGAACAGTAACGAAATAAGTGACTAGAAGGATGATCAAACTCAATAAATTACATTCAAAACTCTTAACTTATGTATGTAGTCTTATACTGGAGTGTATATATGTACATATGTATATGACTGCAGTCGCGTGAGAGAATACAAAGTCCGTGCTGACAATTCCTTATCAGATGATATGTTGTACAATGTGCGCTAACCGCTTGACGATAAGCGTCTCAGTGCCCACGATCGCGGGCCGTTGTTGTTGGCCGATTGCTTTACTATGAGTACTTGTATATATGTATGTATATGTAAATTGTCGGCAGATATGGGCATATAATCACTTTTGTGGGTTAAATGAAAAATTTGGCGACATTTGGCTTTGTTAAGACCATTTGAGCGCATAAATAGCGAAATTGCTGTAACATTTTTTATGAATTTGATATTCCAAAAATGAAAAAAAGGAAATGCATAATAAATTGCTGCAACTTCTATAAATTTGTGGTCTCTTTTTAATGCCTAAAATCGCATTAAATATTTTCTAAAGGAAATTAAACAAGAAACAAAGTTAACTTCGTCTGTATAAAGCTACAATACCCTTCACCGGTGCATTTTTTATAGCATAAAGGAGTATAAAAAGATCTTTATCTTGATTCTGATCGGTTAGTTCATATCACAGCTAGATGTTATAGTGATCCGATCTGAAACATTTCTTTGAAGATTGCACCATTAATCCTAGGCAATAATCCATGCCAAACATCTTGATGATATCTCGCCAAATGACACAGCTTTCCATACAACCACTTGATTCCGATCGTTCCTTAAGATTCATGGCACTATTATTGACGCAAAATATTTTTCTTAAAGGTAGCTACTTGATCATTAACTTAGCAAGCATGAAAAGTCTATGGATTTATTATCATAAAAACAAAAAGACATTTAGCCACTCGACTTCTAAAACGTCTTAAAAGTCTTTAAAATAATATAAAAAACATCGTTGTGTTTCTTCAATTTCTAAACTTCCAAAAATTCTCTGTAGAAACAGGGCTGCGGATAATGAAATATTTAGACAAAACATCAAATAACCAACAGCAAAAGTAAGTATCCTCTGAAGCAACTCACTTCATTTGAAAAACTGCATAATGAACGTTTACAAAAAACCCTTAAACCTATTCTGAACACTAAAAGTGATTCATTTTTTTTTGTAAAATTAAAAACTTAGAAACTAGCTGAGAGTAGTTGATCATTTCAGTTTTAAAGTCAACTACCGGTAAAGCGCGGCACAAAGTACACCACAAATTAGAACATTTAATAAACAACCTTTAAGCGGAAGTTTTTTTTTTACTAAACACTTTCTTAAAAACGTTTCAGTAATTAGTCACGCAATTTTTTCTTCATATGAGTGTATTCGGGATTGAAGGTAAGAAGTGTTTCATTACACCTATACTGAGAACTATAAAAAAATTTAAAATATAATTGCTACTATTAACAAAAAGAAATGTGTTTCTCGCAAGTGCTGCAAATTAATTTAAAACTATTTCCGAAGCATATTTTATAAATAGACATGCGAATAATTTTAATTAATGTCTGTATTTAAAAAGTATAAATATAGTCAGACTTTGTGCTAATGAAACAAATTATAATGAGAAATTATATATCCGACATTAATTATGACAAATTGTTTTGTTTAAATTTCGTTTATAATTCGTTAATTCTTTCTTGAAGATATGTGATGAATAGAATGCAACAACTCGGTTAAGCAATCGTTTCCAAACCAGGGTAACCGAATAGCACCTACTTTAATTCACTATTTTTTAAGAGTTGTACGGAAGCACTTTGACAGAGTGTTCTCACTGACACTCTTCACACTCCCTATTTTCCCATACGTCGACAGCACTCGTTCTACCTTGAACTGGTTGTGCCACGAAGTTTTGGATATATCGAACGGAAATTTGGCACACGTCCGTTTCCTCTCAAGAAGCTCATTTGTCGGAACCGCCAAACTTTTTGAAGGTTGTTTATTTTAAACATAGTGGATAGTTCTATTCCTGTAAGGAGTATATATAAAGCATCAAGTAAGGCAAGGTTTTTTCTTGTTTTATACCAATATGAGCATTACAACACTTACCAGGAAACTTTGCAGATTTAATAAAACATTCGATTTCTTAGAAAACTTGTTTATGTTTAACCCACGTATTTTAATAAACAAGCCAGAACAAAAAATATGAAAATGTCGGAGTACTAGGGAACGGGCTCGCGTGGTCTGCACTGATTATTACAAACTATAGTATTTGTATGTGTATATATGTACAAGTATATAGTAAAAATTTCAATATGTTAGTTTATTTAAAACTGATTGCATTGCGTTGCAGCAAATTGATTTTCATTAAAACAATCGCAATTGTTGCAACAGCCAGCAGTGATTATAGGATGTGGGCGGAGAGAGGGGCAAGATATGGTATTGCACTTGTACAATACTACAATCAAACTGTGCTATTTGAGTGCATTCGCTCAGGCGCTGAAGCTGAGACTACTTGATAAGAAAATTTCTTTTCATTGTCAATGTTAGTGGGTGAGCCAAAACGATGATTTAAACAGGAATCAGCAATATACTACTTTATAATCTATAAAATAAGTACGTATATAAATTAACTGTGAAAATTGTTTAGTGTTATCGTTGATTGTTATCGGTATCGAGATGTAAAATAATTCGTAAATATATATTCGGGCTTTTTCTGTGTCAAACTGGTTCTCTTAAAGTCTATTAAGTCTCGCTGATTGTCTTGACCAAGACAATTACACAATACTAAGTGATTCTTTGGATATTTATATTTCTTTATTCATTTGTAGCTAATTAAATTTTCAGCATTAATTTATAAAAGAAGTAAGCCTACTAGTTTTAGGAAAAATGTTTGGTCCATAAACGATCAGGCTTGTTTTTAACGTATCTTTCCTTCAATTTTCACCTCAATGAAATTTTATTATAAATATAGTTATAATAAAACCTTTATTAAGTTTAGGTTTGGTGGAGTTCACACTCGCCTAATTGCTCGATAAAGTAACTAACTAAATGTCTCGTTTCGTTTCGGTCAGCCCAGAACATTATGTCTAAGGGCAAAGTGCAATTCTAATCTTTCACTTTTACATGTTTTAGTTATCTTAACTTTCTTGCAGTCCGCTGACGTTTGTCCTTAGGCGTTTTCAACGGGGATTATAAGGCAACAACAAAGTTAATATTTAAGCGATTGCATTGTTGTGTGAACAAATGTGTAACCGATTCGTCAAGCAGTAGCAACAACACGCTCAACGTGTTGATAAGAAACACAAATACATACACAAGCCTATATACCGAATCCACACACATGTACGACTATACTGTGCTCAAGCAGCAAGCAAACACGAGCGGTCATCACAAGCGAGAGAGTACAATCATCACTCGCTGTTTATGTGCATTTATAAGAGAAGCGAGAGCGTGAAGCATTTCCCTGCCTGAATGCGTGTTCGTATAGACTTGGGTATCTAGCTGTAGATAGTTGTTTTTATTGACTGATCGTGAAGGCGCTACTAAATTTTTTTTTTCTTTTCTATGACTTTTTCTTTGTATTATGGACATACAAACACATTGCATTTGCCGTTAGCGGGCATTCGAAGTTTTGTTAAGTTTCCGGCCAGTTAGCGGTGTCAGTCTACTTTCGTGGCTTGTACGCGCAAGTTTCTTCGTATACGTTTGGCAGTTCGCGGTCTCCACGCTCGTATTGCTTTCTGGGAGATTTTTTTTTAGTTTCTTCATTTCTTGCGTGTCTTTAAATATTCGTTGCTGAACAACTACTTTCGATTTTATTGGTAGGTGAAGAATGGTTTACGGAAAGACGCTACAAATAAAATGTGCCCCTAAGTGTCAAGATCGGCAGTGCAATTATTCATATTAACAAATGTGGTATAGCGTCTAAGTACGGGTAGTGTTGTACGCAGTCGTTATGTGGCGATAACAAAATGTGTACCTCATTTGAACTTTAGTTTCGACTTCATAATTTAGAGTCATTAAAATTTAACTTATGTAATTATGTGTGCAATGTGTATAAAGCTTCAAGGAAATTTGAAATATCAGTAATTAAATTGAACTGTAATATTGGCCATCACGCAATCATATTGACAATGGAGTAAAGTTAAAACGAAAGTGCTCTATACTCTTTGGTGAGAGCCAGAAATCGCAGAATTTATGTAAAATTGTATTTGCTTCTTTTGCTGTAAAACAGTTGTTTTGTTTTGAAAAATTTAAGCTGTTTTCGTTTATTCAGTTTGTATTGCTTAAGCCAGAGTATGTATATATATACATATTACCAGATCTTCAACAGTCAGCATATTTTGGTAAATTTTATAAACAACAACAAATTACGGAGTATTGCTGTGCTCAGGTTTTTTATTTTATTTTTATATCCAACATACGCACGTGTTGGCGGCGGTTTCGCAATTGTTTTTGAAGAGTTTGTGTCTTTAAATTTTTTCAACACTACTGTGATTGATTTGGTTAGAAAATTTATATTTAGTCAAAAAGTAAACTCATAGAAATATTAAAATTTATTTTGATAGAAATTTGCAAATCTCATACTCGTACGCAGTGTTGAATTTGTGAGAGAGGTATGAAACAGGTATGAAAGTGAATTTCCTTGAAACACAGTTTTTGTATAAATAGTATATCCTTGTACTGAGGCATTAGTATGACGAGTACATATATAAGACAAACTCATATTATTTAAGACAAAAAGTTCATATCAGCTATATAAATAAAATAAAATTTAACTTTAATTAAAAAAAAATTTAACTTTAGTAAAAAGCATATATTTGACCTTGCATGGTCTATCATTTTATATATTTTGTATGTATGTATTAATGATTGTATTAAATTCTTAGATATCAAAGGCATTCATAAATGAAATGGTCATTAAACTCAGACCATATACATACCGTAAATATTCAACGCACACAGTAGTTTTGCATTAGCCGCACAATAAAATGTTTATCTCAAAATGTGTATGTAATAAAGTTAAACATCACCGGGCATCATACAAAATTTTAGTGGCACATAAAGGCGTGTGCATGTATTACTTTGGGCCAAAGTGCGGATGTTTAATTGCACCCATGAACGAAAGTCTAACTTGCAGTGCATAGTACAGCGATGAAAATAGTTTTTATTTTTAACAAATTAAGAAAATGCTTATCAGCAAAGTACAAAATGAAGTGGAAAATGTCAAAACTTATGTGAATCACATTTTTTTCTCTTGCGGAGAGCAAGCAAACTAAAAGTGCATAACGCACTTATAAATATTTTCTTATTGACACAAAGTACATACCTAGGTATATACAGTTTAATGCGCTTATCTTACTATGTGGCCACCAGCAAACAAGAGGTAAACGTGCCAAATGGCTACCCAAAAAAAAAATCAAAAACCAACAACAAACATTTAACAGAAAAAAGTCACGCCAAGCCGGAGTTTGGGAAATACCTCGAAAACCGGCGACGCACAAGCACACACGTGCGCATGGCTGCATGCGAAGAGCGCCACTGAACTGCGTTAGTCTCTTCCACTGCCGATCGTTCAGTGACCTACCTTCCGCGCTGTCTTCAGGTTGCGCAGTTTGTTTTTTGCTTTTGGCCGTTGCAAACGAATTTGGTAAACATTTGTATATTTAGATCTGCATAGACTCGCACTGATTTCAACTTTTTGTTGCTTTCTCTGTTTTGCTTTCCCCAAATCAGTATTTTGCACACATTGCACTCGCTCGCCCGCCATTTCCAGCTAAACTCGTTTGTAAACTTTACCATTTTTGTTGGTATTGCGCACACTTCTTCTAACCAGTTATTGCATTGAGTTCAGCGCTTACGGTAGTTCACACAGGTGCAATTCCGCATTGACGCTCCATGAGTGAGTACATGGCGAACCGCTTTGCGCTGCTCTCTCTTTACTTCCTATCCGTCTATTTGCAAATATGTCAAGCACTTGGCCCCATGTTGTGCCGATAATGTGAAGTGGAATAAAAAATCTGTTAAGCGTTTTTGGCTAAAAATAGTTCTTTGTTTTTATTTGTGTTTCTTATTTATTTTTGTTGTAAATTAGACAAAGAGAAATAGCAGCAGCAGGCTTTGCGCCCGTTTTTTTTGTTGAGATGACGTAGAAATTTTCAAGAATATTTGCCATCCATTTCTGTCACGTCAATGTTTGCTGCGATTTTTTGGCCTTGGAAAAACGGCGTGACATATGTACACTGTTGAATAGTTTTGATGTTTATTGGGCCGCAATTACTTTTGCGTATACTGTATATACATATGTATACTATATATTGTATGTTCCGGTACCTTGAAAGCGTTTAAGTAATTTTGGGTAGGGAAGTCAAATTTCTATCCCTTCATCTGTGACTTTCAGATCTTTAAGGTTCTATCCGATTTGGGCAAGAGGTTGATATATTCATATCGATTGGCGTTTTCAAAGCTTTAAACCCATCCTTTAATATAGTTAGTGAATGTTTAGTTATACTCCGAAAATTGAGGTTGATTCGGCAAATAGTTTCGGAGATATGAGCGTATTTGTAAGAATTTTTGTGGCCGGCACCTAAAACTCAATACGTTTTTATCGCAACGCTGTTATCAGAGTCGATGGAAAAAATTGCTTCACCGATCGACTTGAAATTTTCACACGACCTTCTTAAATATGTTTTTCAGTTAATAATTGAAGAAATAAAATTTTGATAATTGTACATTTTTAATCAGAAAGCTATTTTCATTGGGAAGCCGCCATTTTACCAAAAATTAAAATTTTGACTAGTTCTTGAATCATTACTTGTGTTATTATTATTTATCTTCATCCATTACTTATCTTCATTCATACTAATTAAACAATTTTTGTGGGATTTGGATTTGAGATAACTATAAGCAGAGAAATCTTCCTCACCGCCATCATCTTCTTTCGGAGGTCTTCCTAGAGATCGGCTACGAAATCAAGTGAACCTAAATTTTTTGTTTTTAAATTAATCGTCTATTATTAAAGTATAGTAAATTCTTTTAATGGGCAGTATTTTTACATATTTATTAAATAAAATGTATTTTACAAAAAAATCATGATGATACGGGCTTTTTTTTTGACTTACGGAGTTATCCTTTGCAAAATATTCTCGCATAATCTTACCTGCGGTCTGCGGATTACCATTTATTTGTACTAATCAAATATGCTGTAAATATTTATAATTACTGACAACTGAATTCCCCAGTCATAAACCAGTTTATTGTTTTTGTTTAGTAAATACTACGTCAGAGTTTAATGTAAAGTAGTCAGGCTACCGCAAACAACTATATATAAATCAAACGAGTGGGACAACCTTTTTGCTTGGGCTATCGGCACATTGAAATTTTATTATTATTAGCAATAACTGCTTAATTATCTTATTTGTGCTTTGTTAACACGTATAGTAATCAGGTGATTATAAGCTATAGCTACTGTTAGTACTGATGTATGTGAGCACAAATTTAACCTGAATAACAAATCTCACAAAGATTAGCAGCAAAAACGAATTTCTTCGTGTGGCTGCATTAACGGTGTTGATTATTCGTATTAGTATGAGTAAATACTAGACAGATAAGGCCACGCGACGTAAGACAAAGGTTATCGGATGATGAGCTGACTTCAATCTGTCAATATTCGAAACTATAATTATTTTAAAATTTAATGAAAACATACAAGTACGTGTTTCACTTTATTTATTATTTATTAGCTATCTTATTGCTTGCATCTTTTTCATACGTTGAAGTAAATAGTCACTTTGTCAATCTCAATTATGCAATTTTTAGTAAACCATATTTTTAACGCTTTTTCAGCTTTCTGTACTTCTCACTGCACTTAAACAACTATCGACATGTCCAATTGGGAGTCATTATATAACCGTCCAGGTCCGAATCGCTTGCTGCCAGCCGAGTCATATCGTACGAGCGATCCTAAGGAGCCAGTGAAGATTCGTAGATCTACTGAGGGGCTCTCAGCTGAAGAGCCAATTTCTGTTCCCGGTGTGTTGAAGCGTACCGTTAATAATTATGGTGATTACCCAGCGCTGCGCACAAAAAATGAGAAGAAGGAATACGTAACCGTTACCTACAGGTGAATATAATGAAAAGCCGTCGCTTTACTTTCAAATATGCTTTTTTTTACACAAAATGCATAGTGAAGGTCTGGACTTCTTTCTCTGTTTCCTCCGATAATATGTATGGTAGATAACATGTTTATATTAATGCCGCTAAGCCGCAATGAAGTAATCGCACAAATACTTATTGTAATATATCTGCTTTGGATAACAATTTTCTACCCACAAATCTAACTTAAAAGTTTACTTGTTCTCAAGGCCCCACATTCCTTAATAAAACACTATTACGACCAAATTAAACGTTCACAGTAATTTCTGCTTTAACGTGGCCCTTCGTTTCAATTGGTTCACTGTACTTCAGCAGTTAAATTTAGTATTTTTCTCTCTGATTTGCTATCCATAAATTCCTCCGTTGTGCGCTGTTGACGGTGTCCAAAAATCACTTTCACGCATTTTTTTCTTGGCACCACAGCCAACTGTGTAAAAAACGAATCGGCTGGATTACATTTTTCATCACAATTCACCATTCGTGCCAACTATGACACCACTACTAATTGCGCCGCGTCCACAGCCACTTCCCGCCGGCCGTACATTCGCACTTCGAACGTATGTCCGCAGATTTGTGCCAACATAAAATCCATTACTCCATTTGTCGCCATATTTTCACGCTCCACTGCCATTAGGCGAAGACAAATTTTCACACTGCTGTTGGATTAACTAATTTTTTGTTTCCTCTTTGCCGAATTTATCGACTTTGCTCCGGAACTGCGCCAGGCAATATGAACAAAAAGTGCATCAAGTCGCCAAAGCGTTCATCAAGCTCGGTCTGGAGCCGCACCACTCAGTGGGTGTGCTATCCTTCAATTGCGCCGAATGGTTTTACTCTGCGATGGGTGCCATACACGCCGGTGGTATTAACGCTGGTATTTACACGACCAACTCAGCGGAAGCTTGTCTGCATGTTTTGGAGAATTCGCGTGCACAAATCGTGGTGGTCGACGAATCCAAGCAAATGGATAAGATTAAAGAGATTAGAGACAAGTTGCCACATCTCAAGGCGGCCATTCAAATTCAGGAACCATATGCGCCCTACATGAAGAAGGAAGATGGCTACTACAGGGTAAGTGGTTTGGAAAGAAAGTTGAAAGTTGCATCTAATTAAATAAACTTCATCTATGTATTTTTGTACAGTGGTCTGAAATCGAGGCGATGGCTGTTGCGGATGTTGAAGATGAGTACCAGAAGCGTCTGGCGAATATCGCCATAAACCAGTGCTGCTGTCTGGTATACACTGTAAGTAATTATGTTAGTTGTGGTAGGTTGAAATTAGCAGCTAACTTGAAGGCAGACAATTACAAAATCTCCAATGCAAATCTTCACACCTTGAACATATTTATGTACATTGTTTACGTTTGCCCTTTAAACGTCTGTCGAGCTCAGTCCGTCGTACGCGCGCCTCAACTTTGATGCATTCTCAGTCGCAAATTAATTGCTTTTTGCTTCGTGCACGACTTCCGCGCTTCCTCACCCTACATTTTTGCCACTAACCCCTTGATTTTTTTTCTCTTCTTCTTACTTACAGTCTGGTACCGTGGGCATGCCGAAGGGTGTTATGCTTAGCCATGACAATCTCATCTTTAATACCCGCGCCATCACAAAGTCGCTATACAATGTTACAGCCGGCTCTGAGGTGGTCGTATCCTACCTGCCACTATCCCATGTGGCCGCACAGACTGTTGATATCTACACAGTTGCATCTATAGCTGGTTGCATATATTTTGCCGACAAGGATGCGCTGAAGGGTACACTTGTGAAGACGCTACAAGATGCGCGTCCCACAAGATTTATGGGCGTTCCGCGTGTCTATGAAAAATTCCAGGAACGCATGGTGGCCATTGGCTCGTCTAACGGTGGTTTGAAGAAAATGCTCGCCAGCTGGGCTAAGGGTGTAACATTGCGTCACTATATGGAGACTCACGGGTAAGTCGCGTAAACTTTTATATTTTGATGTGTAGCAGCTATTTGAGTGTGTCGAGAAAGTATCCATATATGTTTGTGGGCACGTCCTTATAGAGAGCAAGTATTTTTACCGTTTGATTAATGTGCAACACGTTATTGTTATGTGCTCACTTAAATGGTGCCGGCCGATCGTTTGTCAGTCGGCTTCTCTGTCGTCTAGCGTGATGACTGCCTACAGTCTACCATTTAACCGTTAAATTGGCGTTTAACATTCAAGCGTTGAGTAATTGCACGTAATTAAAACACCGTCAGTCATGCCGTGACGAGTGTAATGACGTAAATGAACTGTTATCTCGCATCTAGTGATGCATGAGAAGAGTAGCCCGCTCTTAAATGTCCGTCCACTACTTAATATACATTTTACAACCTTTTTGTTAATAGTTAAAATTCAATTGGACCAAGTTCAAATGAGAAGGAATATAAGTCTAGAGTTTCTGCAAGTTCAATTCCATTTTAACCAAAGCTTCGTTAACAACTTGAAGCTAAAAAGCATGCCTGTCCATAACTCGTAGCATCTATATTTCTTGCAACCTTGATTAATAATTTTCTTTTCCCTTACAGCAAAGGTCCCGGTGGTTTCGGTTATAACCTTGCTAAGAAATTAGTTATGTCCAAGGTGAAACAAGCACTCGGCTTTGATCGGTGCATAACTCTCGTTACTGCTGCTGCACCCATGTCACCCGAAACAAAAAAATATTTTCTGAGCTTGGACATGAAACTTTTGGATGCCTTCGGTATGTCTGAAGTGGGCGGTTGCCACACACTGTGTCTTCCTGATACACAGCCGCTGAACTCGATCGGCAAAACATTGGCCGGTTGTGAGACTAAGGTTGTCAACAAGGATGAAAATGGTCATGGAGAGGTGAGTTGCGAAAATAATCTGTGGTTTCATGATTCATTTGTATTTTCAATCGATTGAATAGCTCTGCATACGCGGCCGTCACGTGTTCATGGGCTACATTTACAACCAAGAGAAAACCGATGAGGCGCTTGATGAGGACTGTTGGCTGCACTCAGGCGATGTTGGCTACATTGATGACAAAGGCTACGTTTACATAACCGGACGTTCAAAGGAGATTATCATCACCGCTGGTGGCGAGAACATACCACCTGTACACATTGAGAATTTGATCAAGAAAGAATTGGATGGCATTGCGAATGCCTTCTTGGTGGGTGAACAGCGCAAATATCTGACCGTGCTGCTAACAATCAAGGTGAGCGGCTGCTACTTTTATCTAAACAGTGCATACCAACTTAATCTCACTTTTGTTTTTCAGACCGAAATGGATCGCGAAACTGGCGCACCACTCGACGACCTCACTCACGAGTCGCTCACTTGGGTGAAGAGTTTGGGTGTTGAACACAAAACGCTGAGTGAAATTCTGAAGGCAGGCCCTTGCCCCAAGGTATGGAAATCTATTGAAGACGGTATAAAGCGCGCCAACAAGCACGCCATTTCCAATGCGCAGAAGGTACAGAAATTCACAATCTTGCCACATGACTTCTCCATACCCACGGGTGAATTGGGTAAGTGTACTAGAGTATACCACTGTGGGAACAGCGTAAAGCGATTGTTTCTGTTTTAGGTCCCACTTTGAAGGTGAAACGCAATGTTGTTGCCAAACAGTATGCTGATGTCATCGAGGGTCTTTACGCCTAAGCTTGGCTGCTGGCACTTTCCAAAGCGCTCTGCGTTGTACAAACGAGGCTGTTCGTAATTCCTATCGTTTTGCTGAAATTATAGAAATGTAGTTAGTTAATGGAATAACAAATATACATATATATATAGACAAATTACTAACAGAAAGACAGCAAAGAAAGCGAGAACAAAGCGTTGGCCATGCAACCAGCCTGTAGAGTTTAATAAATAACATACCTTAATGACTTAAATTAAGTTCGGTAGATAAAAAATGTACATAAGATTTTAAAGGCATACCTATCCATTTTTAGCAGTAATATTCAGTTGGTTTAATATTTTTTTTCGACATCCACTGGTTTTATTTTTTAACAAAACATATTTTGCTAATGGATATATTTTCCTTTTTACCTTCTATATAAGGACCAAACTGATTTTAAACGCTATTGAAATTTTGTAGAAAAAGTAGTTGCTATGAATTTGTAAAAGCTTATACAAAATATGTTTTTTTTTATTATTTTAAAAAATAACTTTATATTATATTTCACAAAAATTCACACACATACTTGTATGTATGCCCTTTATATATAAAACTACTTACTTATTAAATTGTGTAAATAAATTCCAATACTTTAGGTAAATGAAAAATTTTATTGTACAATGTAAATAAGAAAATATAAAGCAAGTACATAAAAAAGTGAATACAAAATATTTTTCTTTAAATATAAATAGTGTTGAAACTTTGGTGAGACTTAGTTCTGTACTTTCATAGCAAGAAAAAATATTGAAACTGTTGTATAGCCCTAGCAACATTTCTTTAAACTGTGCGGATCATGTTTATTTGTATTAAATGTTGCTAAACTGTACTCAAATGACCGCCGCCTAAAAGTATGCTTGTAAATACAACTGCTGCTACATTAAAGTAGAAAGATACATTGAGAAAATTTGTCAGTAATGGCAATATGTTTACTATATTTGTGTGCACTCATTTTAAAGGCTCATTGTGCGACTTCGAACAGACTTTATTTTTACGGGACACACCAACTTGACAGCCTAAAAAAGGCGATTTTTAGGAATTAAAAAAATACTTAACAATTTTAAGCGTACACTTATACATGTTTTGAGAATATTCAGAAACATTTTTGAAAAAAAAATATTTTGCGAGTTACACGCGAACTACGATAATGCTAAAAAGAGCCTCCACTGGTATAGTGATTCAGGCCTGCTATATGGAAGAACCCTAAAAAATATCTCTGCAAGACGATATATAAATGTAATAAATAGTGACAAAATGATGGTGTTTCCAATAAAAAAATTGTTTTACCGAAAATTGAAGTTTCGATCAGTTCATTGTATGGAGAACTATTTACAGAACATGCAACCATATTTAATGGTGATCGGATCATTTGCCTCCGAGTAATCACACAAGCAAATTTGAGAAATGAGTTTTGGAAAAAATGCTTAAACTGATGAGTTGATTGAACTCAGCGGTTACATTTTAGAAGGCGGTAACTCAACATGTATGTGAGATATCGATTTGAATTTAAGTATGCCATTTTTTATAGAGGTGTTATATAAACTCATCTTTAATTCTCAATGGCAAGTACTACGACAACGTAGGCCTTGAATTAGTTTAATGTGCTAACCAACATCAAAAATGTCATTCTGGTAGCTTTGGCCGTAAAAGATAAAAGAGAAACTTGGAGCGTATATCTGTCGTGTAAAATGCTTTTCTCGAAATCTATTCGCTGTTTATAATTGACTTAATAGATATACATCCCTCCATTTATTGGATGACGGCAAGCAAGTATTTAGTGAAGATGTAATCACCAATTAATTAAATAATATTTACAAAGTCCATTGTCTTGTACATATTATGGACATTATCCAAATTGAAAAATAAGAAATTTTTTTAAAACAGTACTCAACAAATCTGATGGAAAAATTTGCGATTGATGTGCGAAACGGAGGCCCTATGAAATGATCAGCATAACGAGCTGAGTTAATTTAGCCATGTCCGTTTGTCTGTACGTGTATATGCGAACTAGTCCTTCAGTTTATCGTTCTGAAACTTTGCACACGTCCAGTTCCTTTCAAAAAGCCGCTTTTTAAGGGGAATCGCCGATTGCGGACCACTATAGCATATAGCTACCATACAAACTGCACCATCAAAATCAAGTTTTTGTAAAATGATGATTGATTCTGTGAAGGGTATTATAGCTTCGATGCGGCCGATGATAACTGTTTTACTTGTTTCTGGTATATTTACCCACCAAATTCAAAATAATACATTCGTACATAGTTTCGTTAAAGTAGGAAATTGGAGTCACAAGTATCGTTAATTTCCTGCAGACCCTTTTTTTCCCACAAGCCATGCCATTTTATTAAAAGTGATAAATATACAACAATTATACCGTTATTAATACATACCGCACCTACAGAAGTTATACACATATAAAATTATAGTTATTTTCTTTCATTCGCATTTCGTGTCTACCGTCAATCTGCTAGTACACTTTCTGTGCTCTTCTAAGCGCATACATACATACATATATACTTGTAGATATAGTACTCGTATATCTTCCATAATATTTTTGTTTTTCATTTACTCACCGACGCTCTTTACATGCCGCATACAGATTACAACATTTAAATATGTACGAGTATAAATATGTCTGCATGAAAGTATTTAAAAATGTTTACTTTAGCTTGTATGTGCGAGTATGTATGTGTAGATATGTAAATGTTGGTTTATGTCGTCAACATGCACGCTTAGCATATGATTGAGTGTATTTATATGTGCATATTTATTATATATATTATACATATCATTTACATATGTTTATGTTTTTACGCTTGTAATAAATATTAAATACTTTGAATGAATAATATGTGTATGACAACAACAAACACCAACAAACCGATAAATATCATTCAAAGCCACACAGCATTATATACAAAACATACAAGACATTGGAACAGGCGCACAGCACGGCACGAGTAGTGGCTGCGGCGGTTAGTGGTTGATTGTCGGTGGTCATCAACATCAACAACTAAACAAAAACACGATGTTATTTAGCTATAAACATATGTAAATGGTGAATACATATGTACACACTTGTACATCATAAATGCAAATGACGGTAATGAAAGAGCGCCAAATGAGTGACTTATTTGCAGTTAGGCAGTGAACGGCGTTGCAGAGAGAAATGATACGCGCCGTGAGAGCGCAAAACTGCCTAAAAAATACATATGTATATACTTTTTACGAAGTGTAATGTTTAACCGATAACGACAAATATACATAGACTTGGGTTGGTTATTTGGGTTTATGTGTTTGCGGTAGTTCTGTTGCAGGTACACGGACATTCACGAATTTGGCGTTTAATGTCTATGGGGTTATCGGGTTGACTAACTTTTTCAGCGCTGAAATTCTTCTGCTCAATAGGTTAAAACTTAGTGCGCTCTTCTACCATACCTAAGTTCAGAGATCAAATATTATTTCTATATTCATTTACGTGCCTACACATGCAAATGTTAGAACTTAAGACCAACGATAGCTTTCGACTTCTGTCAATTAAAAGACTATGTCCTGTTTCCACCACATACGCTTATCTAACGGTGCTTGTAGTTTGGTTGAACCATTGCATCACAAGTGGTTCAATTTCGAATACAGAATTGTAATTTCAAGTTCAATTGTACGAGCTAATTAATTTTTACATAAAAAGTTTGCACTAGTTTTCGTTCAATTAGTAAAATAATAAATATTTACAAATATAAATAAAAAAGTAAGGAAGGGCTAAATACGGCTGTAACCGAAAATTTTATACTCTCCCAAATTTCAAGGGTCAAAGCCGATTAAACACTTTCTGGTGTTAAAGCACTTTACATTTCCAAATGCCTTCGCAACATTTTGTCATACTATTCAATATTCATCATTTCACGAATTCGTAATTGGATTACAATCATATTTTGTTATTAGATTAACTTATATTATAGGTCATAGCATCCCTTAGTTTCATAACTACAATTTTAGAAGGATACCTACCATATTGATCGAATATGGTATACTAGATATTGATTGATATATGCAGTATAAAGTCAACCGAAAGTTCGAAAATCTTTATAAACGGTATAAAGGGGTAGGGGAATTATTAGACCGATTTTTACCACTATTGATAAGAGGTCACATTATTATCAGAAAAATATTCTCTCCGATTTCCTATAAATTATATCACAGACTGACCGATATATATGAAAATCAGGAATGACCACTGGGTTCCCCTAATTCGGTATCAATGGGCTTAAAAAATTATGGTCCCATTTAGCATGGCATAACTTGAAGTGACTATTCTTGCAAATTTCTGCTTCACTAACGTCATTGGTTTACGATTTATATAATATTATATATTGGATACTGAAAGAATCACATGAAATTTCAAATTGTTATATGTGGAAAATAGGCGTGTTGTGGTCCGATTTCGCCCAGTTTTACAATGTAAGTTAAGATTGTCGAGATAGTGTTCTGAACCAAATTAGATTAAAGATATTTTTTGTCTTAGTTAGATACATTAGAAGTTTTTGATTAACAACATTTTGTGTCCGATTCCAATCATAGGCAAAATCAACCTGCCTTAAGTAACATGGAAACATGTTCCATTAAGTTTTACTCAATTAATCGCTTGCACGGAGAGATGAACGATCGGACGGAGCGACAGACATTCTCCCGGTATTCCTCCTGATCATTTGAATATATGTATATAACTATCTATCTCGATTAGTTTCACTTAGGTGATACAAACAACCGTTTGGTGCACAAAACTATTACACTTTGTAGCAAAATTTTGCGAGAGTAAAAAAACATAATACATTTTATTTATATATTTGTATATACTACATAGATGAGGTAATAAGAAGATAATGACCGGAAAGAAAATATTAATTCTGACAGATACACAATAGTTTTTCTAATATATCTTAAACAATGCGTCGCTTAAATATTGTATTTAAAAGAAAAATCTTATTTTTAAACGTTTAGTACTTCAGTAAAGCGTTGTTGAATAAGACTCTTTAAACAAAAGCCGGATTTACTTAAGTTAATTTGCTCTAAACTCAGTGCAAAAATAAGTGAGTTTTAAAGATATAAGCTATAAAATATATACTCCATTAATTTTTTTTTAATTATTAACTCTATTTTTTCAGTAAACTGTAATTCATGTTCTATAAGTGCTATCGGGTTACGCTATATGATTTTAGAAAGATTTCGTATTAGAAAAACTTTTGAGGCAATGCTATGATTGTTCGACTCAATATTGTTTGAGCATGCGCCAACCTTAGGCACAGTTATAAAATCGTTTCAAGACTTTTTTGAAATTTGTACTGTGAGTGGAAATAGTTTTAACAAGTGAATGTGAAGAAGAAATAAAAGCTTTCGCTGTAAATGAAATCTAGAAGTTTTCTTATTCCTACTTCCGCGCCCTTTGTGTTTGCTTGTAAAATTTCAGATTATGTGAAGCATGAAAGTTTAGTAATCGAATTTCTACTGGGTGTTTCTACGTAATCAATCAATCGGAAGGAAATAAAAATTTATAAACATATATACTTATGTACATGCACCTCTACGTTATACGAATATTTTGAACAGTAAATGAATGAGCAGAACAAAGCGATAAATGTATACCTAAGAGGTTCCATGGAGGTAAACTCAGTAAATACATGTGTAAGCAGATGCGTAAAAAGCTACATATATAGCTATGTTATACTACGCTCGTAGATATGCATTGACGACTAGCTAGTAAGGTACATAGTATTTATGTATGTATATATTTACATTAGGGGGATCAGAAAAAATAATAACATTGAATCAATTTTTAAATTGAATACAAAAAAAAAAAACATAACTAGGTCGATTTTTTAAGGAAATAAAAAAAAAACCTTCAACGGCTCAAGAGTTATGCTATTTTTAATGAAAACAAATTTTTTCCGCTGTTATTTTTATCAAAAACTTTTAATGCTCACCGACACTTTTCAAATTTTGCTAACAATCCTGCCTTGGATATTTTTGTTCTCAGGTTTTAACTCATAATATCATAGTATCGAAAATTGATTTTTTTTTGTTCACCCTAACGTACTTATTCTAGAATCTACATATAGGGAATAAATTCGGTAGGTAAAAACATAAGCAGGTAAATGCTTGCAATGCGATAGCAAATATTTGCTTCTCGTGATAATTCTTTACTTATATAGTATTAGATGAAACTCATATGTACTTATATAATATATATGCTACAAGTTTGTATTGGTAATATTAGGGGTGTTTGAATTGGTTTTGTTTAATTCAATAAGAATCCTTTGATTTGAGCAATAGAGCTCATGTTTGGTGAAGATTTTTTTGCATAAAATAGAAACATTTGAGTGGGTTTTCGTATTCTTGGCTCAAAATGAGTGTAAGTAAGTAATTGCTGCTGTTCATAGTCTGGCTTTTGGATTAATAAATTAGTAATATCTGTGTACGAGGGTTGCCTTTTATATTTCAGGACTAGCAAACCTAAAACAAATAATAATCATCGCAAATCACTTCATTGTTTTTTCAAAATACTCTCTATTAAGATCTTTACACTGATGCATGCGTTTGAACCGATTTTCGAAGCACTTTTGCCACTCTGATTCAGGTATTATGCGTTCTGAGCGTATCAACCGCGACTTCAGGTGTCGAAAAACGTTGACCCCCTTTGTTTATTTTTTATGTAGGGGAATAGAAAGAAGTCATTCAGTGCTAAGTCAGTGCTATATGGTGGATGACTCATCATATCGATGTTTTGCGTGCTTAAAAACGCAGTTGTTTTAGTCGATGTGTGAGAGCTCGCAATGTCGTGGTGAAGAGAGACAACTGTCAAGAAATGGTTGTGCACCACTTAGAATTTACTGTTCTGTATTCCTCTAGTGATATGGTAGCGACATGTCCAGTTTTTTCCAAAAAATCAGGCAATCAATTACTTGGAAGAACTTCGTGCGCGATCAATTTTTGTTAGATTCGGTTCAATTGATATTTACTTTCAGCCTCATACGCGACAATTCACGATTCATCACTTGTCACGATGTCATAGACATTTTCGATGCACCGCTTTCATATTTTTTTTTTTAATTTTTCAATCGAAACGATAATTTTTTTGCCGATTGACAAATTGTGGTAATGTTGTGAGTTGCCAGATTGTAACACTAGGGCTGCCAAATTCGTAAATATAAAAGGTTACCTACGTATATGTGTATACATGTGGGTATCAGAATATAGTTCAAAAAGAACACCTGTGTACCTGTTAATACATTTTTTACACTTACATATTTGAGATGTATGTGTGTATACCTGCATTAATGAAGGTTACCTTTGTACATACATATGTATGCATCTTAATATTGCTGCATAGCATTCAACATAAAAATGACAGTCGTTGTCGAAGAGATACTGAGTTCGCTGTTATGTTATGTTATCTAGTGTATTACTTTGTTGTATTTGTACAAGTATAGCAGATTTGCCAGTGCGCGTGTCTGCCAGTAATTAACCAACAGTTAGATATGAATACTGATGTATGAAGTGCATACAAAAACTCATAAATATATGTACTATATATAATATGTAGATATAAAATAAATATACTCGTTTATGTGTATTGTGAATTGTGGTTGATAATGTTGCACGAATGTAAATCTATGTTTGTATGTATCTTTGTTTGTTGCACTGCAAAGGCTGGTACGTTGAGTTACTTATGAAAAACATTTTTATTTGTGTGGCTAGCAACACAATCTGTTACACACATATACATACATCTACAAGCATATAAAAATCTATATTTTTTTTGTATATTTACACGAAAATGCAGAGTAACTTTGCCACTGCGGCGGCCTCCGTTGCTGCTTTATGTTCGCCTGGTGGAAATAAGAAATCTATATGTATCTACCGCAGATCGACGCGCACACAAAACTGATTTATGCAAATAAATACGTATACATATGTATATGCATAAATAATATACTCGTAAACATAAGTTGCATATTTCACATATTTAAATTAAGTAAATGAGTAGTTAAACAAATACAAAATACATATTTGCCTTCAAAGATAAGCGTCGGCAATCTTCCACAAATGTTGGTGCACCCATACAAATACATATGTATACATCTAGGAGTGTGTATGAATATTTAGCGTTTTTTTTGCAGACTTCACACGACTGGGAACGCATTTAAATACGCGCGCAATTATGCACATACATATATACATACTTGACTATATTTGCATATTTGGCAGACACGTCTGCCGCTGAGAATTAGAATTTGCGCAAAAGCCAAAAAGATCATATATGGTGAAAATTAATATAATATACATATAAATATAGTATATTCTTAAAAAATATATATTTTAAAATTTCGATATATATTTGAAGCATTTATTTGTGTACGTATGTAAGTATGTGTAATTGTTGTAGATAGCTTTGCTAGATATTTGGAAAAGTTTGTCCTTTCACTTGTTGTCTCTTGATGTCAGATTCCGATAACTGGAAGTTCCTAAAGACCTCGGAATGGTTGTTATATGAGATATATGAAGAAAAGAACAGCATTGTCATTAATACATACATTTATGTACGTAGGCTGCCTTTTATGTTTCGGGATTTGGCAATCCTATTTTAGCAATCTGGCAACGGCCAAAATTTGGAATTAAATCGCAAACATTTTCGCGCGATTATTTTTTACAACTTTTGACGTAGATTAAGTTCGAAATAGTGCAATGATTAACTAAATTCGGCATTTGACGATGAAGCTCCATCAAGGATCAGTGTTTATCGATTTTATTTCATTCAATATTGCATGAACATTTTACTGTGAAAAAAATTTGTTCACGTTGGATCCCACACAATTTTTCAATCGCTAAAAAAAAAGGAACGTCTTGATTGGAAAGGTTAAAAAAAAATATGGTAGCGGTGCATCGAAAACGTCTATGACATCATGACAAGTGATGAATTCTGGATTTACGCATATTTTAGCGATACCTCAAGCAGAGTGGCTAAAGTGCTTCGACAATTGGTTCAAAAGTATGGAAAAAGTTTTGAAAAACAATAAAACGATTATAGATGATTAATATTTATTTTTGTGCTCTATTCCCGAAATATAAAAAGTAACCTTTGTATACTATACTTTTAATGCTGATTTTTGAAGACACATGTTTCTAGAACCCCTCAGCGCGAGCGTTTATTAAATAATTAAAGAAATAATTTGGGATGCTTAAAAACTCTACCTTTTTGCTTTTCGAAAAATCAGTTACACGAGACAAAGCCGAGTTATCTTGCCTAATGCCTGTGACTGTGGGAACACTAATAGATCACATTCATGAATGCGAAAGTGTTCTTAGAAAGAAGCTCTGACGATTTTTGAAATCAATTTCCAAACAAACTACCAAAAGGAGATTCTGACAAACAGAGTGTGTGATCGGATAGAAACAGTGTCCAACAGACTAATATTAGAAATTTGTTAAGCCCATCAATTAATAAAATTGCTAATGACAGAGGTTTTTTCAATGTTTTGCTTTAGATAGTTTTTGAACTTCAAAATTTTACTAACCCAAAAACAAACTTTACACAAAATAATTATTGTTTCAGCAACAAAGTGCCGTTATAATATTTTTTTAAAACCATTTAAGCCTTTAACATTTAGTAAAAACTCATACAGCGGTGAATTCGTCAACGATTATGGCAACTTTTTATTAAAAATTCTGTTGAAAAATAAACGGAAGCGCAACGGAGCTCTAACAAATATTACAGAGCAATATAGGTAACAATAAATATTAAATTTGTGGGTACTCAGAAAACAACTCAACGCAATAAATCACGTGAAAAGTTGGAAAATGTCGCATAACTCCGCAAAAGAGAGTTTGTGTGCTGTACAGCATCGGCATAACTGAAAAAGGAAGAAGGCAACAACCAGCAAGCTTTAAGCTGTGGTCATTCGCTTACTGTTGTTGTTGTTTGTTTCAAATGTAACTGTGCAATTCGCTAGCAAATATTCAAAAGTATAGTTTTGGAATAACAAAATTTCTGGCCAACTATATTTAGTAAAAATTTGAGGCCTTTCACTAGAAAAAGTTTTTATTAAATAATTTAAGTAAAAATCTGTGCGAATTTTAACAAAAAGTGCCGATATGTGTAACAGGCGACAAGCCGCAACCAGCAGGCAAAGCGGCAGCAACCGCAGCAGCAGCAGCATCCGATGTAGTGGCGGCCGATGCAGCCGCAGAACATAAAATTCGTAAAGAGTTGCCGAAAAACACCAAATGCAACAGAGCAGGGGGAGGGGTAGGTGATGGCAATGCATAAATGTGTGTGTGTGTGGTGCAAGCCAATAGGAAGTGAAAAGCGGATGTGAATTGCGTAACTTTTTGATTGTTGTGCTATGAGTTTGATATGCAAACAGGCAGAGAGAAGGTAGAGCGGTTGGTGGAAGTATGCGTACACACCTACGCATTTATAGTTCAAATAAAACAGTTGACAAATAAAAAGCCCAAAAAGTCATTTAGCAATAGCACAGAACTTAGTTAAGACTTCTTTGATTATTATTTACAATAATATCTTTATCTCATCTGTAATTTTGCAGTCTAAAGTGGAAGTTGTTATGCGAAATGTCGCAAGCCACCAAAGATAATGCCACATTTCACCAACTTAAGCTAGCTACCAGTTTCGTATCAACGAGTCTTGCTGAGCCTGTGCGCCTGCGCATTGGAAAACAGGGTCTTACAGCGGCAGCACCGCAAACCATTCCACAACTGTTTCGTGATTGTTGTCAGCGTTTTCCGCATTTGCCAGCTCTGGCTTATGAACGCCATAACAACAACAAAGGAGCTAATAGCCACCACCCTTTGACGACCACAACATATGCAGAGTACGAGCGAAATGTCGAAAAAGCTGCACTAGCCCTTCTGCACATCGGGCTAGCCGAGAACTCTAGCGTCTGTGTGCTGGCCCACAATTGCCCTGAGTGGTATTATGTGCAGTTCGGTGCGCTGCTTGTCGGTGCCATGGTCTCGGGCATCTATTTGACCAGCTCGCCGAAGGCAGTCAAACATGCGCTGGAGGCCTCGACTGCCACCATTTGTGTGGTTGGCGATGCGACGCAGTTGATGAAGGTATATGCCGTAAGGAAGCAGTTGCCCCTACTGCGTGCAGTTATACTGTTGGAAGAGAGTTTCGAGGAAAATTTGAAAGAAGGAGAGGGCTATTACCTGTGGTCGGATTTGATGGCATTGAGATTTGATACACAGCTGCGGCTAGAATTGCTGCTCAAAGAGAAAGAGATCTCGGCTAATCAATGTGCTATACTCATTTTTACGGTTGTCAATAAAATATCTCCTAAATTAACAGTATTTTAACTGTTGTATAATTTTTTAGTCTGGCACAACGGGACTTCCGAAAGTAGTAATGCTTTCCCACGATGCCATCGTATCAAATATTAAAATGCAACTATTGGACCTTTTAGAAGAGAGCCAGGTGCAACAATGTCATATTTGCCGCTAAATCACGTCGCCGCACAACTCTTCGAAGTTTTGATGCCTTTGCTATGCGGTGATTGTGTCTATTTTGCCGATCGGGATGCGCTCAAAGGCAAACTGACGGAGAACTTACGAATTGCGCAGCCAACACGAATATTTGGCGTACCACGTGTATATGAGAAAATACAAGAAGAACTGCTGTTGGCCGAAGCGAACTCTTCTTATTTGTGGCGCTTGCTGTCAAGTTGGGCCAAGCGAACTTTATTGAAGAGCTATTTGTACAATGCCGAGGGCATGTAAGTACTCCGCAGTATATTCTCTCATTAATATATATATCCATTTATATTTTCTACAACACATTTCTTCTTCAGTGAACCAAAAAGAACGCTCAGTTACATATACGCTTCATGGATCGTGCGAAAGTTTAAAGTTCAAGTCGGCCTCGGCCAGTGCGCTTACCTTTGGGCTGGCGGTGCGCCATTATCGGTGCAAACGAAAAAGTATTTCCTTAGCATGGACATACCAGTCAGTGATATGTTTGGTGCTTCGGAGGCAGGTGGTGCTATTGCATTAACACGCAGCTATTGCCATTTGGACAGTAGTGGCAAAGTACTGTTAGGAATTGAAGCTAAAATCGATAAGTCGAATAAACAGGGGCAGGGCGAGGTTTTAATTTTCTCTTGCAGCTCTTTGAGCAATTGAATATTATTTGTGATAAATTTTCACAGATTTGTCTACGCGGACGTTGCACAATGATGGGTTATCTTAACAATGTAGAAAAAACCCACGAATGTATCGACTCAGATGGTTGGATGCACACTGGCGATGTGGGGCGCTTGAGCACTGACGGCTGTCTACATATTACCGGACGCATAAAGGATATTGTGATTACCGCAGGCGGAGAGAATATACCACCCCTTTACATTGAGAACCTCATTAAGGCTGAACTACCATGTGTCAGTAATGCTTTGGTGGTGGGCGATAAACGAAAGTTCTTGGTTGTACTACTAACACTGAAAGTAGGTGCCTTATTTAGTGCATTACTTAGAGTTATTTCCAAATTTTATTACTTTTTCAGACGGACATTGAGAGCGCCACTGGCTTACCACTTGACACTCTGAATTTGGATACCGTCTCTTGGTTGAAGTCGCTTGCCATTCACCATACGCGTTTGTCGGAAGTTCTAAATATCCCTGCGTATACACCGAGCTATGACTACAAAGGATCCGTTATTAAGCCGGATCAAAAAGTTGTTGCTCAAAGGGTTCAGAAATTCGCTATGTTGCCTCATGACTTCACAGTGCCAACGGGCGAGTTGGGTAAGAAGAAAAGAGATATATACAGGTTGTTTCTTTAACAAACTTTCTCACTTTCTTACCTTTAAGGTCCTACTTTGAAATCGCGACGTGCTTTCATTTGCGAGAAATATGCAGATATAATAGAACCGTTGTATAAGGAAGGCAGTTGATTGTTATTAAACAATGTATTAAAAGAAAATATTTTGTAGATTTGTTGTTTCCCTGGATATAATAATGCCTCAGTTATAGTTGTGCGCGCTTCCTAAAAAAGACTAATAGCTAACAACATTCTTCAGCAATTCAGTATCCCTGATATTAGCGAACAGAACAATAATTTCTGGTCTTCTGGATGGGAATAGGTCATATATTGCCACTCTTCCATATCATTGCCAATTCTCAGGCTCAAAGGATAACTTTAGTATAATATTTTAAGTCAATCAGTCGAAAACGAACTTTTGACTTTTGACAAGAGTTTGTACAACACAACTTGATGACTGAGTAAATTTTCTGACCTTTTTCTGCGCTTTACTTCAGAGGTGTACAAAGCGAATGAGATTTCCGGTTAATCCTCTTTTTTTAACCAAATAAACTCGACACTCTCAAATTCTGAAATTGAGAACCCTACAGAAGACATGGTAGAAGGTAGTAATTTGTTTGAAAATAAGATGAAGGACCACTACTTTAGTGGTGTTTAGAAATATGTGTAAGTTTGTCAATAAAAATATCTTGTTAGAAAGCCTTTTCAGTTTATAATTTATTTATTTTTTATTTAAATTAACATTTATGTTTTGAAATAAAAAAATGCAAAGAATGTTACGACTTAATTTGTTCTGAAACTTTTTTAATAATTTAATACAATTTGAATAAAAATTGCATCTAAGATACAAAACTTTAATATAAATAGAGTTCAAAAGTAAACTGATGTGTAATTACAATATAAAAAAAAGTTTTGTTTATAATTATAAATATCAAACACTGTAATTAATATGCGCATTAAGAGGGAAGCAACAAAAAAACCTAGAACAGTGTAGCAACACACATTGAAGTGTGAAATTTAACCTTTGATTGAACTTCTTGAGTATTTCTAACCTGCAAAAGGCATTTTGCCACGATTCAGTTTGGAATTTCAGTTCGTTAGTATTTTAGTATCTTGCGGTGTTTTATCGATTGTAGACGTTGTTACTGTTAAAGTCTTAAATAAAATAAATCTTAGAAAATAGTTTTGATAAAGGAACATAAACCACAGGAGTAAAAAGTGTAACAAGGATTAGTTGAAAAGTGAGTGCTTAGGATTTCGAACAAATGACCTTTGAATAGCACATAATAAATTTGTAAGCCTATTAAGGTGAGCCAAAAAAATACCTAATAACGAATTATAGGTTAAAATGAACATAATATCCCTAATATGTAAGACAGGAGTTTTAGTTAAATTTTAAAAGGTGTCGGAGAGCACTTACCTTTAGATAAAAAATTTCGTTTACAAACAAGCACTTCATTCCGATCGTTCAGTTTGTATGTTAGCTATGTGCTATAGTTCTCTGATATCGGCGGTTTCGACAAATGAGCAGCTTCTTGAGGAGCAAGGAACGTGTGCAAAATTTCAGACCCATATCTCAAAAACTGAGACTAGTTCGCATATAGAATAAAGCCGAGCAGGCAGACGGACATGGCTAAATCGACTCAGCTTGTCACATTGATCATTTGTACAAATACATTTTGCATAAAAAAAAATTTAATAAAAATAGTTTTAAATTGAAAAAAGGTATTTATTTATAAAAATGTACATATTGCTTATAAAAAAGTCGAAAAAATCATCATATATGTCATTGGAAAGCTGACAAAAATCGTAAAAAGTACGACGGCTAGTTATTTGAGAGTTAGTTGAAGTACTTTTCTTTGTACATGTAAATATTTAAAGGTATTTTTTTGGTGCGTTAAAATTTTGAAAATTCACAATTCTAAATTTTTCATGTTAAATATATATATAAAAATATGTACGTGTCCAATATTTTGCCTCCGAAACACCAAAAAAAATGTTTTTGTACGACATCGCGGCAAACTTATTATACCCAGGGTATAATTATGATCTTTTTAATTGTAAACTCGTTTTTCGTGTTATTAAATGATATCAAAGATTAGTAAATATGTACAGTCAATCCTCCTATAACGCGGTGAGCGCGTACCGTACTGGATACTAGGGTGGAGCTCTACTATCTCGCTACTATACATAAGTTAAAAAAATCTGTTTTATTCTGAAAATATTGATTTTGGAAAAGTGTCGTTTGTTAAGATTTCGCAAAATAGTTTTAAAAGTCAGGTCCGTTTAACATATGTGACTTTTAAAAAATTTACTGAATGTGGACTTCAAACAGTTCGAGATCTTAACACATTGATCCGCTCACGTAACACATGGATAACTTTTATACTTAAAAGCCTAAGAGGAAAACAATTAACGAGCCATTTTTATACTCCTTTCAAATGGCTGCGATCAGCGCGTTTCTAGTGTGCTTTAAAGAAATGTATCTGGAGATATATAGAGATGTCAATATGTAGCATTGTACATTTCGAATGTGTTCACACACTGCACTCTATTTGCGTGAGAAATTGCCGTTCGGATATACGAGCACAAGTGTTCATTTATGTAGAACAAGTAGTATGTAATATCTAGTTGTGACTAAGCGCTAGCAAACATACACGCATGGCTATGGGCTCGAGCAAGTATATTCCCACATATGTGCACATACATATATAGCACATAAATAGGCATACATAAGTACGAATTTCAATCTGAGCAATAGTAAATTGTATGTGGAGCCATATGCCTTTAAGCAGTTAGGTTGTTGGTTGCTCGGTTTGGTTGTTGGGTGCATGGTGAAACAACATAATAAATACATACAAGTACTCGTATGTATGAATGTACAATTGCAAGCGGCGCTACAAGCAGAACTCGTTCGGCTGCTAATTGCTGTGCGCCTGTTGAAAAACAAGATATCTATATGTATCTACAAATAAATCACATACCTAAATTATAAATAAATAAATAGTAGTTACACATAACTTTTTATGTAAGCAGGCTTTTAAGTTGGTGAAAAAATTGTTAAATTTACATATGCGTAGATTGGTTTACATTGATATGTAGCAGTGCGCTTGTAAGTAAGAAAAATGAATGGATACATAAGCATTATATTATATATGGGTTCATGCTTAAAAAGTGAGCCAGAGAAATACTACGTACATAACATATGTATACTCGTATATGTAACGGCATGTGTTGCTCTCATGTAGTAATAGTTAAAAATAATAGCTATAAATAGCCAGCTTTATATAAATATTGGAGTATGAATAATTCACGATTATAGCTGGAGCATACAAGAATCGAAGTAGATTTAGCAAATCCTACAAAATACTTACTAATTGCCCAAAGCCAAGAAGTCTGCTGAAATAACAAAAATCATTAAAGGTAATACGAGTAAACCTATGGGGCTAAGGAAATACGTGGATCAATTTCAGACATTTTCAGCATTAAACTATTGTATATAAAGTGTTATACTTTCACATAATTTTTCAAAGCTACATACCTTACGTATTGATCGATATATGCGGTATAAATCCAACCGGAAGTTTTGAATTCTTATATTAAGTATATGGAAGCTAGGGTTGGTATTGACCCGATTTTATGAATTTTAGGCACAAAATGGTGCACCTTTATATACGGTATGAAGTCAGCCGAGAGGATAAGGGAAGTAATGATCCGTTCGAATACATTCTTGACACAACATAGAGATATACCATTACCACAAACAGATTTTCTCCGAATCTCACACATTAATCGATATTTTCCACTCTGACGAACTTAGTTACTTTAGATGAACCATACTCTCATACTCTGTATACTACATGTTATAAGGGTATTTTTATACCCACTACTCCACTAGACACGATTTTATTCACAAGGTATCAGTAATTTTATCACAAAATGATAGTTCGATTTTGTTGAGCTACTGGAGTTAACACGGGACTTTTTAAATAAAAAGCTTTTCATGGTTTAATATATATATTCCAGCTTCGTCATTATAAATCTTTTACTTACTGCGGACTAAAATCTATGAGGCCTTAAAAATAATCATTGTAATGTGTTTGTGCGTACAAGTTTAACTTTCCTGCAAATCTAGCGTTTAAAGAACAATTAAAAGTCGAAGTACTTTCGAAGCAAGAAATCTGAATATTATTTATTTGTTGTTTTTTCATTTTATTATAGCAGCTGAAAATTCACAAAGACCTTGAAATATCAACTAAAAATCGGTTGTAGTTATGGGCGACGCACGGATATTACAATTTTTGTCAGCCACTAATCTCAAAGATGCCACTACCTACACATCCACGTCTCTCACTGAGCCGGTAAAGCTACGCGTTAGCGCAGATGCCTTGGCGTCAATCCCACCACAAACTATACCACAATATTTCCACGAAATCTGCCAAAAGTATGCAAGCATGCCCGCACTTTGCTATGGCCACATTTCAAATAACAACGGTAACGGTACGAGTTCAAGAGCTGGTAGAATAGTTACCTATGCAGAATATGAGCAAAATGCAGAGCAGATTGTGCTCGCGCTATTACATGTAGGCCTAGGTCCGCGCACCGCCGTCGGCATACTCGCCTTCAATTGTCCGGAATGGCTTTACACCGAAATGGGAGCTTTGCGCGCTGGTGGCGTTGTGTTCGGCATATATCTGAGCAGTTCACCGAAAGCAGTACGTCATGTGCTCGGAACGGCGGAAGCGACCGTCTGTGTGGTGGACAACGCAAAGCAGATGGCAAAGGTACGCGAAGTCAAAGGAAGTTTACCACATTTGCGCGCCGTTATTCAGCTCTTTGGACCTTTTGATGAGTTTGTGGGACGCGATGATGGGTATTATCGCTGGGACGATTTGATTGCAATGAAATTCGATGCCCAGCTAAAAGCTGAACTCATCGAGCGCGAACGAGGTCTGGCGGCGAATGAGTGCGCCTTGCTCGTTTTCACCGTACGTAGTTTCGTGTTAAACCTTAGTTCCAATTTTTAATAATATACTTACGTTCACAGTCAGGAACCGTAGGTTTGCCAAAAGCAGTTATGCTGTCGCATGATAATATTCTGGCACATGCGAAATCTGCTCCCTTTCAGGGAGACTTCAAGGAAGGCGATGATATAAAAGTGAGCTTTTTGCCTTTGTGTCACATCGCAGCTCAAAATGTCGACGTTTTTAACACCGCCAATACTAGCACCTGCATTTACTTTCCAGATAGTGATGCACTGCGCGGAAGCTTACTAAAAACTTTGGTTATAGCGCGTCCTACAAGATTCTTTGCCGTACCAAGAGTTTTAGAGAAGATGCGAGATCGTTTGCAGCAGAAGGAGGCAGAGTCGTCATGGTTAACGCAAAGTGTTATGCGGTCCGCACGTTGGGCAACCCTGAAGAGTTACCTAGAGCATGCCGGAAGGGGGTTAGTTGTAGAATAGCGGATTAATTGGCTTAGTAATCTAAATAAAATTTATTTTATTAGAAAACCGGAATATTCTGTAAAGTATTGGCTAGCATCTTTCGTAACGCAAAAACTGAAAGTCGCCTTGGGCCTGGATCGTTGCAAACTAATTATCGCTGGAGGAGCACCTGTTCCAGTCGACCTTAAAGAATTTTTTATTAGCATAGATATACCGCTCCTTGAGACTTATGGTCTCTCTGAAACTTCCGGTGGCTCAACGATATCTTTAGAAGCACGACAAATGAATGGAGCTGGAAAACCTTACCCCGGACTAGAAGTGAAAATCGATAAGATTGGCCAGGAAGATCAAAGCGAGGTAACGGTTTGATGAAGGTTGACTTTAAATGCAATAAAAATTTAGCAAAACTGTGTTAATTTAGGTCTGCTTTCGCGGTCGCTTCATATTTATGGGTTACTTGAACGAACCACAAGAAACAGAGAAAGCAATTGACGCAGACGGCTGGTTTCACACGGGCGATATTGGTTATCTAACTAAAACTGGCGATGTTATAATAACGGGCCGCCTAAAGGATTTACTTGTTACATCCGGTGGTGAGAATATACCACCGCTGTGCGTTGAAAGTCTGGTAAAAAAGGAATTACCCTGTGTGAGCAATGCCGTACTTGTTGGTGATAAGCGAAAATATCTTACAATACTCTTGACAATCAAGGTACATTTGTAGACACTTAGATGGTGTAAATTGTTAAATTTTTTTTTACCAATACAGACCGATATGGATGTTAACACTGGAAGGCCATTGGACACCTTACAGCCAGTTGCCATTGAATGGTTTAAATCACTGGGCTTCGTCTACACTCGCCTCTCCGAAGTGTTGCGTATCCCTGCACAGTTGGAAGATTTTGATGCGGCAACATTAGCAGCGCAACCAGAACCAAAGGTGGTGGCCGAAATACAGAAGGGGATTGAACGTGCAAACGAAAACGCATTATCGAATGCTCAGAAAGTGCAGAAGTTTGCGATTTTGCCACACGATTTCTCAATAACTACTGGTGAATTGGGTGAGTTATCCATATGGGTTAGTTTTATGAGTTATTACGAAAAATATTTCTTCTTTTAGGACCCACATTGAAGTCTCGGCGTAATGTTATTTTACAAAAGTATGCGAAAGTTATCGATCGTCTTTACGAATAAAATAATATTGTAATAAATGACTTTTATGAGCTTTGTATTTTTTTCACTTTTGGTTGGCAAACCGTGTCGATAACAAAGAAAATATTCTGTCTATGAGTAAGTAGGTATTTGTCGAGCGTAGTATTATTCGTGCTCATGTCAACTGAAAAAGTGCAGTTATAGAAGTGATATCTGTCGATAAATCTACTTGAATATGTTTTTGCACCAAAGTAAGACCCTAAAATGATATCCGATGATGATGATTTGGAAGAAATATTTTTGATGTATAGAAATGTAAATTGATTTCTTGCCATGAAGCACACATCATACGTTAGGCTTTAGCTTGAATAAATATTTTGTGATACGGCGGCATGTTAACCATGTACAATTTTTTATTTTATTGATTTAGTGAAGTAAATAGCGTCATACTATCTATAAAATATTATAGCACTAGCGGCAGGCCCTTTGGCTGTAAACAGTGTACTATTAACATTGTCTCTTTGCATTGGCTTTTGAACCTCTCACTGTGTTTTGTTGTGAGTCGTTCTGAAACGATACGGATTATTAACATGCATTAACGTAAATTTTTGCCGAGTCATGCTCCCATTTCTTAGACCGTACATTTAATATGGAGAGATATTGAATAGAGTACACGATGGTCGTTACGAAATGGAATTATTGGTGTGTGTGGTGGTAATAATTATTATTATAATTAATGCACTTATTTCATAAACTGAACTAAAAATTGTGGATCCGGTTATTAACCACGCTCACCTTATATAAAGAGTTATTCTATATAAGTACTAAAGGTACGACTATACTAAAACTGGTGGAGATATTAGATTCAGAAACTCGTCATTGGCGGCAATGAACCACTGGTGAGTCACGGTGAATTTTCATACCTTACATATATGTATACTTTTATAATCAGTTAGTTTTTCATCACGCAAACTTATAATTGGCTGCTTTAATGACAGTGAAAATAGTGTATAATATACTTAACAATTCTTATAATCCGAGCTTCTTTTTTCCATAAATTTAGTGGTTTCTTATTTCTTCTATAGACCGACATTAATTAATTCTTCGTTGTCGTAGGCAGCAGAGACTCAGATAAGACATGAATACGAGTTATTTTCCAAGATTATCTGCAAACATTTGTTCTTTATTTTATTTATTGTTTTTTACAATTATTTTGCTTCGAAAGCCAGTGAAACTCCTATTATACCCTAAATCAAGGTATATTAAGTTTGCCACCACTTTTGTAATACCCAAAAGGAAACGTCGGAGAGCCTATGGAATAGGCATACATGATTAGCGTGACAAGCTGAGTCGATTTACCCATATCTGACCATCTGTGTGCGAACTTGTCCTTCAGTTTTTAAGATCTCGATGTGAAATTTTGCACATATTCTTTCCTCCCAAAGCTGCTGCTTATTTGTCGGAATCGCCGACATCGTCATACAAACTAGGCGTAGACAACTTTTTCATTTGACGAGATATCTGCAAGAAATTTGTCATATTTTATTGTCCAAGGCATCGATGCAATCTCCAAAGAAGTTATATAGATCGGACTACTATAACATAGGTATAACTATTTTACAAACTGACCGGTCATAATCAAGTTCTTTATAAACCTTTTGTATATGTGAAGGGTATTATAGCTTTGGTGCTTTGGTATGTATAAGGGTGGGTAAAAAAAAATTTTAATTATTTATTTTAGTGATATGAATAATATAAATTTTTATTTCCAAAAAAAAAATAAAAATCGGAAACTGAAAAGTGGAGGAACTTCGAATTAATATTCTATTTAAGCGCATACTTGAACAAAAATTTTTGAGTGTGAACTAACCAAGTTTTCAGAGTTAAAGCGAAAAATATATACCAAAAAAAAATAAATTTTGGCTCACCCTAATATACATATACACATGTAAGTACTGATTAATAAATAAACACTTGAGAACATATTTATGGTGCTTTACATATATACGAAACTGCCTTTAATAAATTAATTATGGGATATTTTACCACACACCCCATGAAGTCAGCGAACGTCGTAATCTGTAATCATCATGCTTGGGGAAATAACGCCAAATATTAAAAAAAGAAATAAAATATATGTATGTATATATCAGTATTACCATTTCCATTTCATTTTTTATTTATGCCTTTAGCAAACCTTTGTCCAAAGTGTCATTGGAATTGGTCGGAGTTCTGTGCCCGCCTCGTCATTGTCTTATCAACAGGAACAACAAGTAAAATTACGATAAGAATCCCCAGCATCAGTGGCAATGTTAGAAACCGATCGGCCGATGATGTTGCCGGCGCTGCTATTGCTGATAATAGGAGTTGGATGCTTATTGAACCATGTTACTAAACTATACATCAGCTTTAGGTGTTTATTAAGATTTTCATATATACTGAAAATAGCATATGCAATATGGTTTTTCGGTTTTTTATATTTTTTGTCTAGCCGGGCTGATAAACCTATCAACCACAGAGTGCATAATCAGTCTTAGGCAGCGGCAATAAGTATTCCACCAGTCAGAGTAAAAGATTCAAAAGATTTTCAATTGTCGAGGTAAACGGTTGTGCGCATGTGAGTTAGGAAGTTTTTTGTGAAAATATTTATTGAGTCAAAAATTTATTTTATTTTGATTTTGTAAAAGGACACAATTAATCAATAAATATTTTAAGTGGTGTTTTCTTAAAAGTGTGCTATAAAAAACATTAAAACAAAATAGTTTGTGAAGTCGTAGTGAAAAATATAATGTTTCCTATTTTTTAAAGCAGAACTTATTTAAAAACCTAAAGACTGTTTAAAAAACTAACTTTTTTTCTACGAAAGCTTATTTCCTGTTCTGTAATTTTTTGTGTAAATATTTGGTACCTATATAATTCTTGTTTTGTGAATATTGCATCTTCAACATCTCAGTGAAATAGAGAAACATATTGTTTTTGCTGAACGCCACTTTCTCTTTAAATTAAGTTTAGTAGTTGAGGTTCTGTAAGGTAATTTCTGCGGCAATAAAAATAATGTTTTCTTAAGGGATCATACTATAATGTTTTGGTTACCGATATAGAGTATATGCTTGGAACAAAAAGTAGCGTGGATATGCCACAGAGGTTATTAAAATTCACAGACAAAAATAAATAAATTAAATTTAGTTTATAAAGTAAGATTATTTACAAACTACGTATTATTTATATATTTTAAAATAGCTACATTGAACGGATTTAAGCTCCTTCGATTTGAACTGATAACCAAGCGGAGCAGAAAACAATTAAGAGTCGCTTTAAATACGCTGCAAAAACTATAAATACTCTAAACACCGAGAGCATAACTATCCCACACGAACAAACAAAAAACTCGCCAACCGAAATGATGAACGAAAGCACAGACGTCTCAACTTCGGTGAGTACGGTAAAACCAGCCAGCAGCTATATTTCTACCTCGCTCACCGAACCGATAAAATTGCGTATCGGCACAGAGGGTATCTCCGCCCAAGAACCACAGACCATACCGCAATACTTTCATAAAACCTGCACGCGTTTTCCCGAGCAGCCGGCGCTCGTCTACGCCAATGAGCCGAAAGATCCAAATACCGTCTGGACAACTGTCACCTACAAACAATTTGAGCGTCATGTGGAACAGGCAGCACTTATGCTCTTGCATGTTGGCCTACGGCCGCGCACCTCTATTGGCATATTAGCTTTCAATTGCCCCGAATGGTTTTATGCCGAATTGGGCGCCTTATGCGCTAACGGCGTTGTATCGGGCATATACCCGAGCAGTTCACCGGAGGCCGTGCGGCATGTGCTTGCAACGTCACAGGCCACCGTCTGCGTTGTTGACGACGCAACGCAACTGGCAAAGGTGCGCCAAGTCAAGGATCAGCTGCCGCTTTTAAATGCGGTTATCCAATTACATGGACCATTCGACGACTTTGTCGGTAGCGAGGAGGGTTACCATCGTTGGGCAGACTTGTTCGCTTTAGAATTCGATAATGAACAGCGCGAGGAATTGGCGCGTCGTGAACGTGCTGTCGCCGTAAATGAATGTGCATTGCTAATTTTCACGGTAAGTAATGGTGGTTCATATGACCCGATTAACCTTTCTGATATACAATATTTGATGCCTCATGTTGAAGAAATATTTGTTATTGCGTTTATTTGCCAATTTATATAGAATTTCATTTACTATTTCAGTCTGGAACAACGGGTCTGCCCAAAGCTGCAATGCTCTCTCACGACGCCGTCATCATGAATTCCTTATGTGTTAATGCTGCACTGTGTAAACAGGGGAAACTTGCTGAAAGAGTAGTTTCTTATTTGCCTTTGAATCATATTGCTGCCCAGTTATTTGACGTCTATTTGAGTTTAGATAAAGGTAGTTGTGTATATTTCGCCGATCGCGATGCACTTAAAGGCACACTCATGAAGACCTTTGCTAAGGCCCGCCCCACTTGTATATTCGGTGTGCCACGTGTGTACGAAAAGATACAGGAACAGCTGACAAAAGTCGCTTCGAAATCGTCGAGTCTTTCACGCTACACAATGGATTGGGCAAGGCGTGTCACCCTGGAACACTATTTAAACAAAAATGGTGCAACGTATGTATTCCCTCAATTTTTAAACTAGTAGTAGTTTACTGCAAAAGAACCCAATTGCTTGCAGAAGCTATTCGTTGAAATTGTGGCTGGCATCAAAGATCACGCACCAAGTTAAAGTCGCTCTGGGAATTGACTGCTGTAGCTGGAGAATTATAGGCGGTGCACCAGTTACAACTGAACTGAAGGAATTTTTCACAAGCCTAGACATGCCACTTTTCGAAGCTTATGGACTATCTGAAACGGGTGGCGCTGCGGTGATAAATCAAAGTTACAACAATTACACAAGTTGTGGAAAAGCTATAGATGGAGTTGAAATAAAAGTTAATGACCCAAATAAAGAGGGGCATGGTGAGGTCAGTAAACTTATATAAAGGAGAATAGTTGAATGAATTACACCCGTGACACATTAAAAAATGTTTGCTCTAGATAATTCCCTCAGGTTTTCAAATCGTACTCACACTGAGGTTTCTTCTCTTCTCTAAATTCAGATTTGTTTACGCAGCCGCTCGACTATGATGGGTTACATCAATGAGTTGGAGAAAACACAGGAAGTTCTGAATGACGATGGTTGGCTCCTAACAGGTGATTTAGGTTATCTGGAAGCTGATGGTAGTCTCGTCATCACTGGGCGTATCAAAGAGTTGGTAATTACAGCCGGCGGTGAAAATATACCGCCAGTGCTTGTTGAAAGTCTTGTGAAGGCGGAATTACCCTGTGTAAGCAACGCCCTGCTTGTAGGCGACAATCGCAAATATCTCAGCATACTGCTAACACTAAAGGTAAACGAATCTCAAGATCACAATCTTACAATTGCTATTACTTTTAATTACTAACTAATAGACCGATATGGATCCGCACACTGGCATACCATTGGATACGCTCCATTCCGATGTAATTGAGTGGCTGAGAAATATGGATTTCAACTATACACGCTTGTCGGAGGTTTTAAACATACCTGTGCAGATAAACGAATCTGAGGTTGCCAAAATTGTGGTAAAACCTGACGCGAAAATAGTGGAGAGCATAGAGGCTGCCATAAAGCGCGCTAATACACGTGCTCTATCGAATGCACAGAAGGTACAAAAGTTTGCAATCCTACCACATGACTTCTCAATACCTACCGGAGAGTTAGGGCCAACACTGAAATCGTGTCGGAAGGTCATTCTACATAAATATGCTGCAGTTATCGATCGCATTTACGAATAAGGTATTGCTGGCTTTGAATTCACATGAAATATCTACTCCTTTTTGTTTTTATGAAAATACCGAAAACGGTTTTTAAGTCATTTAGTTTATGTATCCTTTCCCTTAAAAATAAATGTCTCGCCCAAATTTATTATGTGTGAGTTTCAAGAGTTTATAGTTGAATAAAATAACTCCTAAGGAATTTTTCTGATTTAGATGGTTTTAAGAAGTTCAAATTTAATTTATTTGTTGCTGGGATATTGGAACACCTTCTTTAACCAGACCTGAATATTGTATTTTGAAAATTTTACTGCCTTGTATAGTTTCATTTATGATGCAGCGTGTCAAAAAGCTAGATTGGAGCTAATTTTGTAAAAAGTTTTGGTTTTCTTAAGAATAATTTCTTTAAATTTCTCAAGATATAAGTAATTCTTCAAGTCGAAGTAATTGCTTTTGAAAAAAATATAGAAATATTATGGGCTTAAAGCTATTTTATTTATGTTATACACTTAATTTAACCTTCTCGACAATATGGTCTTTTTCGTTCTTCCAAGAAATTAGTCTAGTGTTTAAGTTCGCTCATTGTTTCTTTCCACATTCTTCACCGTGAGTCTCGTCAGCTCTTGTGTCTTCTGTAAAAGTATTTGAATAAATTTCATTATCGATAAGTGTAGAATAAATACTCTGCAATCGATTACCATCTCAAGTAATTTCTTCACACGCTTGGTCTGCTCTCGTCTGTCGATCAACTGCCGCGCTATACGCAGCCCCGTGAACGCTAAGCCAATGGCAATCAACATCCAAATGATAATAGAGCGTGAGTCGAAGCGGTCCACGCGCACACGCGGCCAAACCAGTGGCGGCGGTGTTGGCATAACAGGATCAACGAACGTCTGCAATGAAGCACAAATCAATATTTTGTTTGTGTGTGGTGTACATGCAAATCACTTCAACGAGCGAAGCCAATTAGCATTTTTACCTACCGTGCACTCAACATCACCCACACTATGACGTCGCTCCCACAAACGCCCAGCGTCCAGCACCACAATACTGCGCTGACGCTCCGCATCATAGCAATCAATGCCACTCACGTTGAGCAGCGCCACACTCCACGACGACGCCAGCGAGTAGTTGCGCCCGAAGTGTACGTGCGCTGGAGCGCGCACCAGCTCAACTATGAGCCACTGGCAATGCCACCGGTTGGCGGACAAATCAACGCTCGCTCCACAGACTTGCAATGCAGCCATGGCGTCGACATCAAGTTGCGTTAAGTGATTCTCACTTAAATCCAGCGTAAGTGCCGAGTGTGGCAACAGCGGCGAGAGATGAGCGATGAATGCGCCGGACGACAATTGATTCCCTGACATGTCCAACGCACGCAGATATGGCAGCTGCGCGAAGAAGTCCGCATGGATGGTCGACAGTGCATTACGTGATAAATTGACGCGCTGCAGTTGGGTGGGCGCATCGAAGAGTCCAATGTGTAGCTGTGTCAAATTGTTGGCGGACAGGTCGATCGCCTCCAGATTGATGAGCTTGTCCAGACAGGATGCTGCAAGCAGATGCAAGGCATTGCTGCTGAGGTTGAGATGCTAAGGAAGAAAAAATGGAGTAGAGAGAATGAGTGGCAAAAGCACCGTAAGTATTTTGAAAATGAGTGCTATAACTTGCAGCGCTGTCAGCTCAAGTGTAAGAAGAGTTTCTTGGCGTATTCCTTTTTGTGCGGTGCAATTAAATGCTGTCGTATAGATCAACAAGAAATGGATGACAGTGTCACGTCGTTGCGTATATCAGTAACATGTCTGCTGCTGACACGTTCCGTAATGCACGAATGCAAGTGTGCATGCTTTCGAGAATCGGCGATTGAGTTGATTTCTTAAGGAGCATTTTATTTGTGCGGCTTTGGAGACTATTTTCACGAACGCTTGAGTTGTGATTTTGAAAAAGGAGGGACAGCAATTTTTCTTTTGCATTTGCCAACTTTATCAAAAGCATTGTAAGAGATTCCACTTTGATAAATTAAGTCAAATAAGTCTTCGAAACACTTTGTTTTATATTAAGTTGAATTCCATCCGGTTTAATGTATAAGTTTGAAAGTTTGGTGTGTTGCATGTCGCGTGACGCTTACGTGGCGTCACTTATTAGTAATAACATGTGACGCTTTGTCGTCGCGTCAGTCATTAGACACATTGACTCTTTGACATGAAAGCAAAAAATTTCAGCTTGGGCCATTGATTGTCAATATCAATAGAGATTTCGCATGAAGCAATTAGTGTGCATATTTACATACATATGTGGCATGTAGACTTTTATTAGTTTAGTTTTAGACTCTTAATAGTTTATATGCACACATAATTATATAGATATTAATGAGCATATGTGCGGCGGCTTGGTCTTTTCAGATGTTATCAAAACTTTTAATGACCGAAGCAAATAAATATATTTTTAAAGCATATATAAATTAAATATTTAGGTAATAATACATTCCTTACTTTGCTATATATTTCAAGAGATTTTATGGAATTCTTCATCAAATAGGTAAATTTGAACACAGGTATGTACTATATACTTATGTCCTGTGAAACCAAATATATACAGATTATCTATAGACTATATGCAGAGTCGTTTGCGAATTGTAAATAAACGAATCTGTAGGCGTACATTTCTTAACATTGGAATTAGCATTTTTTTTTCTCATTTAACAGTGAAAATGCTCAATTCTACTATTTTTTGTATATATGTATGTACTTTTAGTATATATGTATGTATTTTTATGCCATCTTACTTACTTACTTTTTTAAAAAGCATATATTATATTTTGACGTGCTGACTACATTTTGCCTAATCAATTGTCTAAGACGCTCTGGAAGCAGTTGGGTATTTATAGAATGAACCGAATTTTGAAGAAAAATTATTTACTGTACATCTCTTCAAACATCATCTGCTCATTAAATACAATACAATACATACATTAACAGAAAAAAAACTTCCACCAATAAAATCAATCCTCACACAATCATTATGCTGGCCAAAGTCCACAATTCCTGTTGCATAACAAATTATGGCATAATCAAATAAGCATGCTTGCTGGCAAATCGGTAAATAATTGATATGAAATTAAATGAAATCCAATAAACATTCGCAATAAAATACCATAAAAAACATAACATAACCAGCAGCTTTAGCACCACACAACCGCAACAACAATAGCAACAAAAATTTATTGACACAACCATGCAAATATGTACTTTATTATAGTTGTGCGTTGACATATAAATAAAGGCGATTAATCGTTTCACACACACACATACACCCACAAACAACGCAGCCTCGAAGTAAATATGTTTACATGCACATATAGCAGGCACACGTGAATAAAAGCATATATATAAATATACAATATATGTATATATACTTGTACACATATGCCTGTGTTGGTAAATTTTTGTTTGTAATTGTGTAGTTAGATTTATAATCGGCACGTCATAATGCGCAATAATGTGTAAATAAATTGGTTAGCCACATAAAGGGTGTGTATACCATCTGATCAAATATGTCCCGGACTGGTCCATTTAAATGACGCGCGCAACTCAAATCGATAAAAAAATTTCTTAGACGGGTACAACCATTTTTTATGTTCGTACAATGCTTGATCTCAATTTATAACGAGTTTGCTTGACATTTATGTATCATTGAAGACAAAAGTATTTTTGGGGATGGTGATCTACTTTATCACGTACTTAAGTATTAGAATAGCACAAAAAAAATTTCCCCGTGCCAATTTTCCATACACCTTTTTTAATGACGATAATAGCGAAAAAGTTAAAAAAAATTAAATTCTAATTAATTGAATAATTAAAGAGATCATCGTGTTGTCATCAGAGAGTCTGCAGAGGATCTTAGCATAGTTTATGAATCGAATCCACAAATTTTGGTTAATGTTTTGGGCTTATCAATGCCAGAGTCGTACCAAAAGATCTTTTGCAAAAATAACTTCGAGTAGAGATCGCAAAAGATATGCTCGACAACGTAGCTGAGAATCTTACATGCATCAAATGCGCCACAAGTACATTGAAGCCATATAGGGCACTGAAAGTCCACGTCGAGGCTTATAACAAGTGTAAGAAAAATTGACGTGGGCATCCTTGTATTGGCTCAAAAGAGCCTATTTTAAAGTTGATAATGAATATTTGTTTTAAAATACGTAAAATTGTTTTTTGTCCGTACGCGTTTAATTTGATCATATGGTATATATTTTGAGTTTTCCTTTAGGAGCTCCAAATAATAAAAAAATAGGAAACAAAATCTATAAATAAAAAAGCTTAATAATTAACCCAGCTGCTCTGCGCTAATTGCTGTAGAAGCACCCTGTAAAATAGTAAAATGTCTAAATATTTGAACGGCTGTCACTCAGTTGGGGAAACCGCTGATGCGAGTGCATACAAGCCGAAGCAATAGCCACAGTGCGTGTGTGTTTGTGTGGTGGCTCTGCTCACACCGATTTTCAAAGTCGTCACACAAAAGCTAACATATACTAATGCACTCATAAAAATGCGTATGAACAAAGAAAATACTCGCTTTATTGCACATTGAATTAATATTTAAATTCAACTCACTTAACGGCAATTATTTCCGCAAACAAAAAAGTATTTAACCCATTAAGGAATAAATATTGTAATAATGATCACTGTTAATTCTTAGTTAAATATGTAAATACGATTTTATGATTTTTTTTAATACGCTTTTATTAGCTTGGGTTGTATGTACGTAATGGAATCTTAGAGCTCAATTTTCACCGGTTTCCAGAAGTCTGATGAAATTGAAACTTTGCAGACGTGTCAAGGACCGATGACAATGCAATAATTTGATAACAGTTTTCCATTACTTTAAAGGTGGACATAACCCCGCCCCCCTAAATGGTTTAATGTATATATCTTCCAAACTGCTAAAGCTAACTCAACCAAATTTGCTGAGAGCCCTTTTTCATACGCTGTGAAAATGGGTAAAATCAGATAATAACCACGCCCACTCCCCATATAACAGTTATGTTAAAATATACTAAAAGTGCGATAACTGACGTAATAAATGCGCCATAAGCATTAAATTTCACAAATAAGGTGGGAAAAGCTTTATAGAAGGAGGTGTAAAAATTTCTTTAAAGCGTATTTATATATTTTTTTTAAACTATTTTTTATAACGGTAAGTTAAATTCTAATAGTTATATATCTGAAATAGTTTTTAAGTTACAGTCTTCTGCACCACTTTGCTGCTCAATTCAATTAGCGTCCGTCAATTTAATTTTAAACGCGTTTTTCTCTAAAAACTACATTTTTCAAATTTGTTTGAGAGGTTACACGGAGACAAATGTTCTGTGTATACTTGTAGTTCTTCACACAATGCACTGCCAAAAGGAACCAAAACTTTTGACAGAGTTACATGCTTTCAACGCTGCCATTTTATCAATTTTTGTTTTGTCTTTCGACCGTATTGTACGGATAATATGTTTAGTAGAGATTTTTTTTATTAGGTCTACCCCGACGCCGCAACCAAGAATTTTTTTTTATTGAGCCTGCACTTTTTGAAAAAATCAACTCACCGTAAGCGCTGCCAGGCCATTGAACGTATCTGCCTTTATTTCCATCAGCCGATTCGCACTGAGATCCAGATCCATCAATGCCCAATCTCCAGCAGCGAAGGCATCAACGGTTTCGATTCGGTTGTGCGACACATTCAAATGCAG